CTGGATCTAACATCTAAACATGCATTATGAGGACAAACGTATATCTGTTGACTGGATGGAAGAAAGAGACGTCGTCACCACCCGTTGGTTTTTAAAATACAGTCTTTAAGGCATTTTGGCCGTCGCCATCTTGTTTTTTTGGAACAGGAAGTCAACGAAAATGTCCTATCATTATAGATTTTTAGACCTCCAGAATGTCAGAGAGATGAGGTGTGGCTCTCCGTGGACAAATTAAACACAGCAATCTTTGTGTCACAAGATGTTTTGTTAACATTCAACGCTGAAGAAATTGGTAGAAACTTTCAGATAAAAAGCAAACGTGAGAAAGAGCTTCTGAAAACTGAAGGCTGTGAAGAATGAAGAATGTGTTTTCTGGCATCTGGATCTAACATCCAAACATGCATGATGAGGACATAAGAATATAGACTGTTGACTGGATGCAAGACAGAGACGTCGTCACCACCCGTTGGTTTTTAAAATACAGTCTTTAAGGCATTTTGGCCGTCGCCATTTTGTTTTTTTGGAACAGGACGTCTTGTCAGTTTGCTTTTCGGCAAAACTGTATACAGTTAAATCGAACGGACTTGTTTGTGCAGATGTGAGCGTCCTTAACAACGGTCAATAAGTGCTTGACAGCGGTCTGTCTGTTCGGTATTAACAACGTGTCACGTGTTCTGAATTGACCAATCAGAATCGAGTATTCAACTAAGCCATGTAATAATTGTATATATCACGCAGTCTGTCTTCCGGTTGCCTCTTTTGAATGACGAATACACACTACCGCCCCCTGCTGGTAAGGAGAGTTATTGCCACTCACGCATGCGTAGTGCGTACGTGCTTCTTGGCCGTCGGCTGAAGTCTTTGCGGTGTGTTCCAAGACGCAGGAGACGCGAGGCGACACAACAGTCCGTCGGGACGTGTTCTCTGGTGTCAGTTTGGTGCGTCAGGGCCTTAAGAAAGAGACGTCGTCACCACCCGTTGGTTTCTGGACAACTGTTTCCCCGCCCAGAATGAAATGAGATAAATATAGTTGTATTAAAATAAGAAGTCAAAATAAAAAGTGATAAAATAAAAAAAA